GCCCAAACTAAGTCTCACAAACTCTCAGGGTTATTTCAAGTAACCCTAAGTAAAGTAATCTGAAATTTTAGTTTTCCCCTAAAAGATGAAATAATATCGCTAAGCAAGTCTCAAAGAAATTGTAGGAACTCACCAGAGTGATATTCCTAGAGTACCTGAAAAAGGCACAATTCTGTATGAAGGCAAAAAAAATTATAGCGTTAATAATAATTTTAAAAAATAACATCTGCAGAAAGAAATATTTCAACTCTAAGTTGTGGGTTTTATTGAGAGCAGCAAGCTGGGTATCTCTCTCCACTTCAAATACGCCCCTCACACTGACTTCTCTAGAGCCTGCTTTCTGGCCCACCCAAATCACTCTCTACTTCCTCCCAGTGCACAAACAGAACTCCCACCTCTGGTCTGAAAGTCTGGTTGCAGTGAGAGATTTTTCCTAGTTAGGGCAAACTCCAAGTAGAGAGGAAAGGAGACGGGAGAGAAGGTAAGGAACACAGATCAACACCCTATATCTGCAAGATGGCGCCTTAACAGGGGTCAACCTCAGAGAGTCATTTCTGGTCTTCCTGTACCCTCTTGTTACTGACGCAAGTCTCCCTGCAGGCCCTACTTCCCTCTACAGAAATAAGACCTGCAGGGTCCTTCTTCTGAAGTTTCTGGCCCGAGGATTACTTTAGAATTGGCATCAACTCAACTCAACTTCCCCTAAGAAGGGGAAGATGTTTTACTTCATGAGACATGAGTGATTTTTTCGTTTAACTCATGGTTTGAGTAGCTTCTGTCTCAAACCCTCCTTCTCGAAAAAACAGGATTTCTAGCTGGAATATTTTACATATTCAAAGTAAAACTGCCCACAGCCACATCTTGGGCCTTAATCAGCTTGTCAGTATCTGTGGCAAGTGTGTGTGTGTGTGTGTGTGTGTGTGTGTGTGTGTATGTCGTGTGTTCGTGCAGAATGGACCAAATCCTACACTCCTTAAACCAGTCCTGGAAGGTCTGTTGGTCTAAGCCCAAGGGCAACCAGCCCAGTGAAAACACAGTACCTTTGGCTCAGCCATACCTCACAGACTTCATTACCTGGAGCCCTGAATTTGCACAGAGCATCCACAATCTGCTGCCCTCAAAGCATGGCTAGAAAAATAATAAAGTAGATACCAGAGAGAGGGGCGAGAAAGAGAGACTGGAATAAATCAGGTGGATCAGCGGGTGGCAGGTAACTGGGTAGGTTTATGGCTCTGAGCATTTGCCTCTGCCTTTAGCGGTGGCAGTCAAACTGCCCATGCCTTCGTCTCTCTTCCTACCCCCGTTCTTCAGAATTGCTGAGCCCTGCAAAGCTCTGTACTCAGGGAGAACCAGCTCCTGACTCGCTCAGCTGCGTGGTCAGGCTATTTGATTTGTGGAACTCGTGCCCAAGCCTTGGATTCAGGACATTGGGGTGAGAATTTCTGCTCTGCCCATGGCTTCCTTTGTGAGCCTGTGCTAGTCACTTAACTTCCCAGAGACTCACTTTCTTGATGAATAAAATGGAACATTTTTTGGGAACTGAATTTGAAACAATACAGAAGCAGGCTGAGAACTCGAATCTCCATAGAGCATCAAAGCAGCAGCTATAAAGTGACAAGCGGTTTTTTGCTGGGGTTGCTGAGCACTTCACCTCTCTGTGTATCTACCCTCCTCAAACTTGATCCCTTTCTCCCTCGGAGCCGTTGCTCCTTTCCTCGAGTTCCCTGAGCTTCCAGCCTTCAGATCTGGGGCATGGGCTGTCATGGGCATTTCTAGGAGTCCTGGGACTTTAAAGACCTGGGAGAAGCTGCTACTGAAGGCAGGACACCACGTTAGCCAAGGAAAAGCATGAACAGTGTACAGGTTACCAGGGAGGACCATTGTTGCTGTTTCTTTTGACAGCATTCACATTTTTGAAAAGGACTACTTAAGAACTATTCATAAGAGAAGTAAAATTATTTTAACAGGAAGGGGAGCAGATAGCTCTAAAGAACAGAGTACCCCGCTGTACTATTCTTTCTACTTTGAAATGTTTCACATAATTATAAGAGACAAGCAAAAGTGCATGAAGTAAGGAAAGTGTACCTCTCAAGCTTTTTTTCCCCTATGACATAAAGAACTCATGAGCATTTAGGATAAAAATCCACGCACCAATTCCTCCCGTAATGAGACCTCTCTGCAAAGGCTCTCTCCTTCCTATGTCTGTAACCAGAATCTGCTCTGGTCTGGGCTGGAGCTCTGATGACAGGAAGAAAAGCTCCATTTCCTCTTGTATGGCTAATTCTTGCGACAAATGAAAGTGTTTCTTAGAAGTGTTGTGTCTGGTCCTAACGGAATTCACAAGCTAAAGGCATTATCCTTCCCACTCTGCAGATGGAGGAGCTTAGCAAAATGAGAACGGTCACAGCTTCACCCGTTCCTTTCCTGCTCAAACATATCACAGCGAAGAGTCCCACACTAATTGTGTTTGGGGAGACTTGGGAAAAAACTGTCCTCAGTGACTTTAATATTTAGTTTGCTAAATCCCTAGCCTGGCAGGACTCACTTTTAATAATTAAAAACTCAATTAACTCAACTATATAAGCACAGGCAGTGTGCAGGCTCAAGTTTCATCTGGAGCCCAAACTGAAGGAACAGCAGACACTTTACGGGCTCTGACTTTTTTCAGCCTGAACCTGCAGGGGCTTGTTACCCGGCCTCTGTCTCTCTGCCTGCCACATGCTTTCCTCACAGTGACTTTAATCAAGACCAGACTTAGCCTGATGTGAAATAAGATCTGAAGGCCCTGAGAAGTCATCCTAATGAAACTCGAGCAGCTGGAGCACACTGCCCAGGAGAAGCTGATTTAGAAACATTTCAGTTCTAGAGTTCCAGTCCATGTTAAAGGGAACACAGCTCAAATCTTTGGACCCTAAAAAGTTGCATAAGATCTTGGGCTTCCTGTGACCTGGAACCTGGCTACATAACCATTTCAGGAAGTCAGAAGATGTTTTAGAGAATTGTAAGTTTGCATTTGCAGACAGTAGGTTGCAATGGGGGTCATGCATGGTTTTCCAGTAAATAGATTAGCTCTAGAAAATGGTTTATGAAGACTCATCATTGTAGATATTATTCTGATTAAAATGTGTAGTGAAACTGTCTTTACTATCAAGAACTTGGGATTAAAATTTCTACCAGGTCAAGATGACAAAATGTCTCATATTTAGAAGACATGCTTTTAAAAGTAAACAACTCAGGACAGGTTAAGAATTTGTGTTATTTGGCTGGACGCAGTGGTTCATGCCTGTAATCCCAGCACTTTGGGAGGCCGAGGTAGGCAGATCACAAGGTCAGGAGTTTGAGACCAGCCTGGCCAATATGGTGAAACCCTGCCTGTACTAAAAATACAAAAAATTAGCCAGGCCTGGTGGCACATGCCTGTAATACCAGCTACTCGGGAGGCTGAGGCAGGAGAATTGCTTGAATCCAAAGGCAAAGTTTGCAGTGAGCTGAGAGAGTGCCACTGTACTCCAGCCTGGGTGACAGAGTGAGACTCCATCTCAAAATAAATAAAATAAAATAAAATAAAATAAAATAAAATAATTTGTGTTATTCATACCTCATCTAGAAACCTCAGATGGATTCTATTTTTTCTCATACCACTACTTTACAAATCTTGAATTGCAAACTTCTTTAATTGCAGAGGCTGCTGGGAAAATACACACATTGTGGCCTACACATTCATTCTGTCTGAACACAAGGTCCCTCCAATAGGGTCAGATACCTGTGGTTTGCATTTGTCTGGGGGCAGGGTGAGTGGAACCAGATGGGAGGCTTTGGTAGGAAATTCTGGATTAAACACAGTGGTTGTGGAACTCAGATGTCATCTAGAGTTTCCTGGACCTTTATAATCTAGATAAGAATGACCTAAGCCCCCAAATAAGGACCAGGAAAGTTCAAAGCCCAGCCAAAATTCTGAAATTCACTGTCACCTTTGGCTCTGAGTTCCTGTGTCCTCTGAACTTTTGTTTTCTACTTTGTGTTTTAAAGCTGCTTCAATTTTTCTCTCCCCCTCCCCCGCTCCAAACTTGGAGTCGTCTTCTTGATTTTTCTCAGCCAAACAATTGTTAAGAACATGGCTGCAGACTGTAGCAGGACTTTTAACAAAGTTCTTCATGTTACTAGTGAGGGGCTTCATATCATCACGCTGCACGGGAATTAGCATAAAATTACGTATATACAGTTGACCCTTGAACACTGTGGATTTGAACTGCATGGGTTCACTTATACTTCGATATTCTTCCACCTTTGCCACTCCTGAGACAGCAAGACCAACCCTTCCTCTTCCTCCTCCTCCTCCTCAGCCTCCTTAACATGAAGATGAGGAGAATCAAGAAGACGTTTAGATGGTACACTTCCACTTGGTGAATAGTAAATATGTTTTCTCTTCCTTATGATTTTCTTAATAATGTTTTATTTTCTCTAGCTTACTTTATTGTAGGAATAAGCATATAGTACATGTAACATACAAATTATGTGTTAATTGTTTATGTTATTGGTAAGGCTTCTGATCAACGATAGGCTTTCAGTAGTTAAGTTTTTGGGAAGTTAAAAGTTACACATGGATTTTCAGCTGTGCAGGAGGTAAGCATCCCTAACCCTCCTGTTGTTCGGGTTAACTGTAGTCTTATTCTTCAATGTCGTCTTAAGACACCCAGCACCACCATGGCCTCCGCATAATGCCTATGCTTCTGGCCACTTTGCTGGCTCTTCTAATTTTAATTTCTCCTCGTAATTTTCTCCTTTCTTAATTTCCTCTTATCTCCCAGATTGCTCCCAGGAATTCTCTATTTCCCTAACTCAGTTCTCTCCAATCCTTATTTCCAAGTTAGATCCAGGCCCACCTTTTCATGGCCAAATTTCTCATGGCGTTTGGTTGAATAAAAGTGTCATTCCTTTAACTGGACTCTCCTTACAATGCAGGGGAGGCTTTTTTTCAAAGCATTTCTTCCTTCAGGTGTACCTAAGAGGTCACAGTTGAAAGCCATTCCTCGAAAAACCAGGAATGAAGCCAATTAGTGTTTTCATATTCCATGAGTAATAATCGCGCCTCGGATAAACCTCATTGGCTACGATACTGCCACTGTGCAAAGCTAGTGTTTTTTCATATTCAAAACCAACAGCAACTAGAAGCTGATGGATCACTTTCTTAGGAAGCCAACAAAGGTAAAGGGACATTATCACTGAATACCGGAAATGGCAGAAGTGATAAAGTGATGCAACTCTTGAATGTTGGAGTACGTTCTCAAACAAACCTAAGAAAATTGCTCCCCAGAAGATTTAAAAAAGAACAGACGTAAAAAGAAAAAAAAAAAAGTCTTGTTTTTTTTCACTCAGGCTGGAGTGAAGTAGTACAACCTCTGCCTCCTGGATTCACACAGTTGTCCTGTCTCAGCCTCCTGAGTAGCCGGGATTACAGGCACCCGCCACTACGCCCAGATCATTGTTGTATTTTTAGTAGAGACTTGGTTTCACCATGTTGGTCCCACTGGTCTGGAACTCCTGACCTCAGGTGCTCCACCTGCCTTGGCCTCGCAAAGTGCTGGGATTATAGGTGTGAGTCACCACACCCAGCCGGAAAGAATACATTTTTGTCTGCAGGGAGTAAGTTAGGGACAGACTGATGGGTGACTCTGAAGTGACCTTCTCAGAGGCCAATCTCTGGCCCCTTGACCTCATCATTAGGTCAGAGTCACGGTGTCTTGGTGGTCTTGTTGATGCTCAGAGAGGCCCTTATGAACCCACGGCACTTTGGGAGGAGTTTTCAAGCTGAAAAGCGTCAACCCAGGGAACTGCCTAGTTTAAGGTTCAAGCGCCAGCTCAGGACTTCCCATGTGTTCGGCACAGTTCTGAGCAGCAAGGTATTTCAGTCATCACTGTATTTTAAGACCTGGCTGGACTGTCTCATATTTACTGCTGAGCTACATACTTCCCCTGCAAGACTCCTAGCCAGGGAAAGGGGCATTTCTGGGAGGGAGTACGGTAAAATCTCAGATACTTCTGGGGCCAGAGAGACAATGTAAGTGAGGAAATAGGACCAGGTTCTGTACGATAAGGAGCAGTGAGGACTCTGGAGAAGTGTAATTTCATGCCCTAATGGAACAGCTGCTACCTCACTTCAGCCAGTCATTGTTGTTAAGGACTGAATGCTTGTGTCCCCCCCCCCCCGCCCCCAAAATTCCTAGGTCAAAACCACACACCTCAATATGATTGGTATGTGGAAGTTGGGCCTCCGAGAAGTAATTAGGTTTAGATGAGTTCATGAGGGTGGGACCCCATGATGGGACTGGTGTCCTAATCAGAAAAGGAGGAGAGAGGAGAGCTCCCTCTCTCTGCCACACGAGGACACAGAGTGAAGGCAGCAGCTGTTGCAAACCAGGAAGAGAGTCTTTACCAGGAACTGAACCTGCCAGCACCTGGATCTTGGATTTCCCAGACTCCAGAGCTGTAAGAAATATGTCTGTCGTTTCAGCCATACATGTCGAATATTGTTATATCAGCCCAAGCTGACTAAGACAATTGTCCTGTGGGAATGCAGGCCTACAATTGCTACACGCTACAATTTTTAAAGAATGGCTGAAATGTTCTGGTATTTACAACACTAGGTGAGCCAAAGGAAACAAAGCTGTAGGCCGAATGTGGCCACCGCATCACCACTTTGCAACTTTTCCCATGGTAGTTACGAGTTTAGCCTCTAAAATAAGATAGGCCTGAGTTTTGAGAACCCCAGCGCTCACTAGCTGTGTGTCCTTGGGCTAATTCACGTATCCTCTCTGAGCTTAGTTCTCTCACCTATATACTGAGCATAATAGTAGCATCCTACTGGGTCAAAGGAGATAATTTAGGAAAGGTAGCACAGTGCTAGACACATAGAACATGCTAAAATGAGCCAATCTGAAAAAGTTTTATACCGTATAATTCCAACTACATACAGTTCTGGAAAAGGCAAAGATACAGAGGTAGTAAAAATGTCAGTGGTTGTCAGGGATTCATGGGGAGAGGAGAGAAGGATGAATAGGTGGAGCACCAAGGATTTTTAGGGTAGTGATACCATTCTGATGATTCTATAAAAGTGAATACACGTCATTATATGTTTGTCAAAACCCATAGATTGTACAACACAGTGAATCCTAATGTTAACTATGGACTTCATTTAATAATAATGTATCAGTAATAGCTTATCACTTGTAACAAATGTACTACACTAATGAAACATAATAAAAGGAGAAACTTGAAAGAGAGGGAATATATGGGGAAAATGTGAAAATGAATGATAGTTATTGATGAAAATGGTTATGATGATTACATTTGTACAAGTTATTGCTGCATATCAAGGCACTCTAAACTTTAGTGGTTTAAGGCAATAAAAATTATTACTCACAAGTCCATGGAGCCAATCAACTGAGTGTTCTGATCATTTGAGCCAGCTTTGGCTGATCTCAGCTGGGCTGCACGTGTGTTGGCAGTCAGGTGCAGATCAGCAAGCTCTCCTTGGCAGAATTTGTCTCCTGGGACTCTTGTACCACGTACTACGTGTACTGCATGTGCTAACTCAGGCCTCAGTGGTACAACGGGGCTGGATGACCCTTCAACTCTTGTTCTGCCATTCTCCAGCAGCTAGCTTGGGTTGTTCCCAAGGGCCGAAGAAAGGCCAAGTGTTCAAGGCCGACACTCTTGCTTCTTCCACATTGGATTGGCCAAACAAGTTGCAAGCTCAGCCCAGGTCCAAGGACTGGGGAGACAGACCATGCCTCTTGATAATAGGAGCCGCAACATTGCACTGCAAAGGACTTGGATGCAACGACGGGAATAATTGCTGCCACTTTCACTCGGACAACCAAACTGATGATGACGAACGTTTTCTTCTTACCCGTCCCTGAGAGGTTAACCAGGGCCTGTGGACTCTTTTCCCAGAGTATCATCACTGGCACCTTTTCTTTTATCTAGTTGGAGGTTTGTATTAGAGAACTGAACTTGGCCAGAGCCTAGGATTTTAATCCTGCAAGACCAAGAGCATTAAAAAATATCACTCAAGTTGACATCCAAATCTGTCCTGGAAGAACATGGACCTTAAAATACGGGGTGTCACAGGCCCTTTAGGCACATGTCAACAACTCCAATTTTGTTGTCTCAAACGCAGTGGGTTTTGTTGCTCAATAGCATTGCAAAAAGAAAACTTGACTCCATTGACCACAGTTTATAAAGCCTCAAGACACCCAAACATGACTCATGACCTTTGCTGGTGGGAATAAGAGTAAGAGCTGCCCTGGGAATAAATATGGCACAAACACTGTGATTAACGTGGCTTCAGAATTTCAGTGATGTTTGAAGAAGAAATGTTCTTACAACTCATGCTCAGAGAGCCCTGGTTTTCACCATCTGCCCTTGGGCTGCTGTTTATGTCTGTGGACAAGCAGTGTGCAATTTTACTGGAAAAATATTTAAAAGAAAAACCCAAACACCCACATTATGGAGAAATAGCATTGAAAAATTTCCAGTTTTATAGTCAAATTTATATTCTTAGCCCTAAGAAAATATTCAGAATCATCTTCAATGGCTTAGTGTGAGACTTGAAATGTCCCCAGGGAAGAACCCCAAGCATCATTAGTTATTGACTTGGAAGCGTTGAGCCCACCTCCGCTGCAACATGCAGGCAACATCCCACCTGCTGTCTGTCTGCTTTTGACCCCAGTCTCTAGGACTCTGAGTGAGTTGAAGCTCTTTCCATCTCCTGGGGAGGCTCCGAGTGTGGTGTAAATCATATAGGGCAAAAGCTATGTACTCCAGTATTTTTCTCCTCTTCTCTTCTTACCTTCTGCCAGAGAATTGCTAATTTTCCATAAAATCCCATTTCTACAATACTCAGTAACCAATTGTAAGCAGATTTTCTGCCAGTCAGGGTCTAGGGCAAAGGAAAAAGTCCCAAAGCTGCTGTCTCTCTCCCCCAGAGGCTTTCGATCTTGGTTAATATTACATTGCAGGATACTTCCAGAATGTTTTCCAAAGAGTATTTCATGGGACACAAGTTCCACAATATGCCTCTTAAAAAAGGGTTCCGTGGGACAGCTTTGAGAAACGATGCAAGCTGTATTTCTTTTTTGGAAAGCTGCAATGAGTATTAGCAAATAAAGCTGTGAGAAGTTTTTCAGTAAGGATATATTTAAATACTTTTTTTTTTAATGATCCAGGGTTTCCCACTTGTTTTCCCAAAAAAATCTTTTTAAGAATAATAATAATGACTCTGAACAGTTTGAGAAATACTGTTATACATCAGAATGGGGCTAGTAAAAGGAGTTTTGACCATTTGTATTATTATCTCGTGGAGGTGTGGGCATCCCCTTTCCTCAAAAAGGTGCTTTTAGAGGGCGCAACGCCTTCTCACTTCAAGTAGGAGTCTCCAATACCAGTGACGCTTTGCAATGAACGATAGCAACATGATTAAAATACAAAACAAATCCGAACACACATACAGACACATGCACCCACCCTACTGAAACGGATTCTCTTAAGGGCACATTTTCATCTGGCAATAACGTGGGGACTCATAAACTGCTTTCTAAAGCAAAGAAGGGCTAAGCTTGAGGGGCTGGAGGTTTTACACCGCAGTTGGTGAGTATCCTCTTCTGAAAGGCTCCACCCACTTTTCCCTAAGGCTGGGACATTACACATAAACTGAAACAAACAACATGCAACCGGTTTCTCAAATTCACTCAATTTTGTCAAATAGCAATATTACTTGGTTGAAGAACAGCTACGCAAATGAAGGTAGAAGTCCCACTCTGAAGCGAGACTTCCTCTGGGTCCCCGTAGCTAGGAAGTGACCGGCTTGGGTCGGGGTGGGCAGGACTTTGAGTGGGACTGAGTTGGGGCATAATGTGGCTTTGGTAATATACAAAAAATGAGAGGGTTGGACTAGATCAGATATTTTCTGATCTAGTCCAGATATTTTCTGATCTACTCTTTTTTTCCCCCTCCCTTAGGATCTTTTCCTTAAATAAATCTTACTTGGAAATCCTAGACAAATTAAAAAAATAGGGTCAAAGCAGATCCTATTGATATGGTTGACACAGGAAAGAGGAAATGGGGGTGGCAGAG